GGAAGGAAGGAAGGAAGGAAGGAAGGAAGGAAGGAAGGAAGGAAGGAGTCTACTTCCTGAGAATTTATTTAGAAACTTTGGCTTTCTTCCTTGACCACTTAACCCCCCTGGTCACCTGTACATACCCAGATTTCCTTGGGTGTTTTTATTCCTGTCCATTCCCACTGCTACCGCCTAAGTCCAAGCCTTCATCACACCTCACATCCCACCTGGCAGAGTTCAGTAGGTCGAGTGTTTCCCTGGCTTCCTGTCTCGCCCCACTCACCATCCTGCAAGAGGGTACTTCAGCATCAAAGCTTTCCCACTCCAGAACGTCCAAGTGCCTACAACGTAGTCTTCACTTTTGAGACAGCTGCTGACCTCGCCAACCTTCCTTGTCACCCCAAACAAGAATTCACTACTAAAAAGTGGCCAAATTCTTTCTCTTGAACATAATTTGTATAGTGGTCCCCAACTACAGTGTTACTACAGCTTGTGAAATGTGTTCAGATAAGCTCACCATCAGCAATTGAGTGCAAATGGGGTTGGAAATGGTACTCTCTATTAAAAATGAACTCTCTGTCCTCAGGTTTCTGAATGCAGGTGAGGATGCAGTTTCAGCAGCCACAATAGCAGCCCTGGCCATGCAGTACCATTTGTGTGTCAGGAGCAAGAGTCTGGGAGTGGCTGCCTTGGGGGCAGCTAGGTCACAACTGAACGATCCCATCAAATCATCAGTGTTATCCAGCCATGCTCTACAGGCAGCTGAGGGAAAGTACTGTACAGAACGTGAGCCCTGAGTAACTCATCCGTAAAACATAAAAACAGGAGCTGGAGAAAGACTTGGCAATTAATGATGTATACCACTGCTCTTGCAGAGGACCAGAGTTCTGTCCCTAGTACCCATATCAGACAGCTCAACTGCCCATAATTTCAGCTTCGAGGGATTTGACACTCTCTCTTGGACCTTATGGGCACCTTCACTTTCATGCGCACATCCCACACATAGAAACACACATATACACATGATTAAAAGTAAAAGAAATCTTTCAAAAAAACAAACAAACAAACAAACAAACAAAAAAAACCAGATAGCCGGGCAGTGGTGGCGCACACTTTTAAGCCCAGCACGCAGGAAGCAGAGGAGGGCGGATCTTTGTGAGTTCAAGACCAGCCTGGTCTACAAGAGCTAGTTCCAAGACAGGCACCAAAGCTACACCTGTCTCGAAAAACCAAACAGCAACAAAAACAAAGCAAAATAAAAACCTAATAAAACTGCTCAGATAAAGCTAACAGGATTTGTAAAGCTACTATTTTATATTAAGGACTTCGGTATAGGTGTTTCTCCCATTTTACAGTTGAGAAACCTGAGGCCCAGGAAGGCCAGCAGCTAGTAAGTGCTATGGTGAACTTAATACGCAGGTCTGAAGCCAAACTTTGGGTTTGTCCACACCACGACCCCGCCTCTCTACAGAAAGGGATTTGGTCATCTTCAGCCAGAAGATGAATTATTACCACCTTTTCAAGACACACACCTGGCTAGAATCATACCTTTCAAATTTCCTAATACCCATGATTTGCAGCTTAATAGATAATCAACTGATATTTAATTTTCAACCAAGAGATTAAAGCGATAAAAGTTATCACTTACAAAATATAATTAAGAAAGTACATTTGAGTGGATATGTAATCTGAAGAAAATAGCTTTCCTAATTTCTTTTCAGTTTGGTAAATAAGCTTTGTGTTTTCTTTCTCTGACTAAATGACTGCCAATCTTCCATATTCTGCTCTAATTGCAGTGAGAACTGCAGCAATTAATAGCACAGGCTCATGGACACTGTGCCAGTACTCTCCATGAAGCATTCTAATTCCTAGGCTTGGTAAATATTATAAAGCAATTTAACTTTTTCCCAAAATAACATGAGACACTGTCTTGGACTAAATCAGATTATTGGTGAGAAAAGAAAATGTCACTAATGAAATGAACCAAATTATTTTATAGAAATACCGCCTGTCGTGATAAATTAATTCTAAAAGACACACTTTACTTAGACAAATAAACTTAATATGCGCATCAATATTATATGTATTATATATAAATAAAATTTACAAATGTATAATCATTATACTTAAATCCCCAAAACCCACAGAAGAAAGAAGAGCTAACTCTGAAAACTGTCTTCTGATCTCTATACCTGGGCTGTTGTGTATCGCACACACACACACACACATACACACACACGCACACACACACACGGACATGCACACATACACGCATGCACACACACATGCAATTGAAATGTCAAAAACCTTTTCTGTGCAATCTCTACACAGACTTTGAACACAACACTAACATAGCGCTGCATCAATGATTCCTCCTCCCCATTCTCAAGAGACTTTCTTTGGAACTGTGGTACCCTGGCATGAAGAAGTCACAGGGGCCCTGCTTACTCTCGGTTGAATGCTTGCTATTTTCCCTTCTCCATTTTCCAGTCCCTAGTTTTATGCTTCTGTTTGTTTAGAAATAGAGTCTCTCATAGCCCATGTTAGCCTTCAATTCCTGATTCCCCTAACATTACTTCCCAAATATTGGGATTACAGGAACACACACCACCACCATACCCAAATTGTCTGCTATTTTGCCCCCACCGTTTTTTGTGTGCGGCTGGCTAGTTAGTCCTGACTCCTCAAAGACACAAAGAAAACACGGCGTAGGTTTAGAGTTGTTTCCTGTCTTCCGTGTCCACAGAGCAAATGGCTAGTTCTTTGGGGGTTTTCTCAACATCATCATTGCTAGCAACATGGTAAAGAGAGGGCATGGAAAACTAACGAGGAGAAAAGTACACGGGGTGTCTGTGGTAGCCACGGCAACGACAATGGAGATGCGCTCCAGAGCTGTGTGAGCGCACACACTTCCTCTCTCGGCTCTCTCTTTTAACCCTCTCCCTCGTGGAGAGGACGGACAGGTGCTATATACAAAAGTATGGGGAAGAAGTGGGTATTTCTGTAAGGGAGCAGTTATTCCCAAGAAGAGCCAGAAAGGTACCTTAGCAAGTCAGCAGGGGAGAGAGAGGGGAAATCCCAGAAGACCTCACCCAGTGGATCACAGAAAACAGAGGCAGCCGTTCAAATATATGTAAATATGGGGGCCTCGCAAAGCCAGTGTCTGATTATGTATTCAAACTCAGGCAACACTCCGCCACATTTGAAACAGGGCATCTGTATGTAATTATCCAATTTGAAGGCTGAATGCGTTCTTGTGGTCAACAATTGCATGTGAGCATTTCTGGTTAGATATTGCCACCTACAGACCTAAAGGGAGAAGTTCACCTGAGCGTGACAACTTGACAAGGCAAAGAGAAATATATTAATGTCCATATTTCAGAAGCCCTTATAAGAGTAAGACTTTAATCGGAAGTTTCTGTAAATTTCGTTCAACTATGCCTTGTATCTCATGTTGAGTTATCAATAAATGCATGCAAAATTGCAGAGATTGTATTCAAAGCACAAATATAATCTCATCCCATACATGTAAATAAGTCAGAAGACAGACATTTAGCGCCTCGAAGACCCTAGTGAGTCTTCTATCAATTTAAGATGTGTCATGAAAATCCCACAAAGTATCACTAATAAAAATCAAATCAACAGGGTCTTGCAGTTCTTAAAGTCATAGAGAATCTTTAAAATAATCATGCAAGCATTTGAAATCATAATGATTAAAGGGATTTCTAACGTTCCTTATAGGATTCCCTCATTAAGAAATGTAGATGTATAAAGCAGATATGGTATCAGGTCCTTCGTGCTATGTGCTGGGCACTTTGTGTGCACTGTTTCATTTCATCATGAAGAAAGACAACTGATATTTACATGTTAGGTGAATCCTGTCCTGCAATGCAGTTTCTAATTGGAACAAGATAAAAGTGGTTAAAAAAAAATTAGGACCAGATAAGGCAAAGGCACATATAGACTTAA